CCGCGCCTGGTTGGCCTGGCAGTCCCGGACCTTGCCCTGCCATGCTGGGTGGGTGTGGGGCCACCGGGCGCGGCTGCGGGCATCACGCCTGGGGAACACGAGCCACGGAGAGCGAGCCAGGGACCCAGCGCCGAAAAGGGAGCGGGAGGGTGGGGTGGAGATGTGGAGGTCGGGGAAGCGCCCGGCGCCGGGCCCAGGGCCCCTCGGAAACCCGCTGCCCTGGGGGCCGGAGGGCTCGTCCACAGCCTGGCTCAAGGGGACGGGTGGCCTCAGCCGTCTGGGCGAGCGCGGGCTGCGGCCACCCCAGTGGCCATCTTCGAGGGGGTGCGGTCCCCTGGGGCCCGTGCTCTCGGACTGGGGCCAGCCCCTCACGTGGCTGCCACTGCAGTGGACGTGACGTAAGTGGACACAGGCCTTTGGTATCAGGACAACTGAGAAGGCATGGGTCGGCGTTTCGGGGCCTCCTTCCCCAGGGGCACGACTTGGCTGGCAGCCCTGTGGCCTGAGGGCTGCCAAGCGGCCTCCCGAGGGCACAGGTCAGGCGGCGGCTGGCCGGCCCCGCGTGGGTGAGGAGGGTCTCGAGGGTCTCGAGGGGCGAAGACAGGCCAGGTCTGCACCAGCCCCGGGCAGCTGAGGGCAGAGGAAACCTCTAGGCCTGGGCAGCCATGAGCAAGGAGCCCCAGAACCTGGGCCCCGCCAGCAGCCCAGGGCTGGGGCACTGGTGCCGGTTGTGGTCAGGGCCAGCGAACATTGTGCGGGGTCCACGTGGGCGACAGCCCCAGGGGCCGGCAGGGCGAGGTGGGGCTGCCAGGCCGAATGCTCCGTTCCACCAGGCACTCCTGTTCCTCGCCCTCCTCCCCGACTGGTCTGGCCTCGCCCTCTGGCCTTCCCTGCCCACCCCCCCCGCAGCCCCAACCACCAGGCCGAGACCTGCTGCCAGGCCCACGCGGCCATTCAGTGCCAGCGCGGCCACCCCAGGCTCGCTCACCCCTCTGCAGGCATGCGCTTGGCCGGCTGCCCTCTGCGCGCTGGCTGTGTCCCTGGGGCCCAGCCTGAGGGCCAGCGGAGGGGGTGGCCGGCCGCTGGCACCGCTGCGCAACCGCCGGGCCTCCCCGAACAGAACATTCCTCGGCCCATCAGTCCCGCTGGGCATGACCGCCCTCGAGGCCACTGCAGGTGGCCCCAGCCCAGAAGAGTCCACTGCCCAGGCAGCGCCCTGCAGCCCAGCCACGGCCCTCCCGGCTGGATCCACCTCAGCGGTGCATTTCGTCGGAGGCTTTCTGGCCGCTGCTCCCCCCGAGTGCAGGCCCGCCCCGGCCACGGTGGCCGCTTGTCCCCCCGCGTGGGACCCAGGCGGCCGGGGGCGTGTGAGCCGGGGGGCGGGGCCCCTCTGCTCTTTGGAGCTGCCCGGCTGTCTCGTGGCCGCCGCCCCCCGTGGGCCCACCTGGGCTGCCCGGGTGAGGGGCGCTCACCGCTGGTGAGCCTCTGCGGGCGCCTGAGCCCTGGGCGCTGGACTTCGCTCCCGGCAGCCGGCCCTGACAGGCGTCTCCCGCAGTCCTACCTGCTGATGGCGACGGTCGTCCTCCTCCCCCACCTCAGCAAGGCCGCCGGCTGGTGCCGCAGCAGGCTCACGGGTAGGCGAGGAGGCCCCGGCCGGCCGGGCCCGCGGGCAGCCAGGCCCCACAGACCGCCCCTCCCCCCCAGGCCCGCGGGAGCCGCCTGCTCAGGCCCTGGACTTCTTCACCTTCGACCTGCAGGAACCGCTCAGCAAGGAGCGGGTGGAGGCCTTCAGCGACGGCGTGTACGCCATCGTGGCCACGCTGCTCATCCTGGACATCTGGTGAGCGCCAGGCCGGGACGCCGCGGCCCTCAGCGGGGTCCGGACAGCGCGTCCGGCCCCCCCCAGCCCGCGAGC